GGCCGGGCTCCCCCCATAGCCCGGTCGAGGCACAGCTTCGCATATCGGACTTATCCTTATCCTTATGTAAACACATTCTCATCATTAACAATTCACCCCCTTCTGTAACTTTCCTATTCAATTGTTTTTTATTATTATAATGGTTTACTTGCGGACGTTTAACGTACATTATTGAAATTTCTTGGTTTGATGGATTATTGAGGATTTTTCTTTTGCATTAAATAGTGTATTTCATTTATCTTACTAAGCAAGTCTTCAGTCTTTGGCCAGTTAATTCATATATATTAAAAATATTCTTACCATTGCCAATTCACTCCCTATTCAATTGTTTTTGATTAGTATAGTGGTTCACTTAATTGAAACTTCTTGGTTTGATGGAGTATTGAGGATTTTTCTTTGCATCAAATGGTGTATTTCATTTAACTTATATATTTGTTTGGTAATTGCTGATGATTTCATTGTGTATTAATCTTAAGTCTGTTGGATTAGCCTGTACAATCAGAAAAAAATATATATTACCTTGTGGTCATTGAGGAACTGAACACTTCTCTGTTAACGCCGTATTAGGTACTACCTTGCCTCGCTATTCCATATTTATTGGTATAAAGGGCAATGATAATATATATATATATATATATATATATATATATATATATATATATATGTATGTATATTCCCATTGTCCGTTAATTGCAAATCTGAATATTATTTAAATTACTGATGAGAAATGGTAAAATGACTGATAAGCATCAAATGTTTGAACTCTAATTCTTAGAAAATATTCAGAATACAAGCCCGAAATTAATAGGACCCAAACTGATTGTAGTTAGTTGTCCCTGATAAAGGAGTATCACTTCTGAGATTCTCTTGCAAGAAAAGACAAAAAATAGTTACATTTTTTTATTATTCTATCAATTGGATCAATAGGTGCATGGACTGCCTTCAAGAATATCCGGAAAAATCACATGATATACAAATAGGCTTAGATTCTTTTATCTTCTGGGCGACCAAATTGTTCATTGGTGAAGAAGTAATTGTTAGATTCTTGACAAGGAATGGCATCTGTTTCTGGCACACAAGCTAAGGTCTTCTGGTCAAACACTGATCCTTCTCCACATAGGAAGCTAGAATGTTATCAAAAGTATGTTATAAGTACTCGAACACCTAGATGACATCTCAAAGTAAATCTAGTCAGTATCTCAATCATATTTACACTGTATCTTCCAAATATGTATTGCATGGAACAAGATCTATTAACGAAAAAAAAAGGCTTACCTGTACTGGGAGGTCTCAACAGCACCATTAGCAAAGAGAGCGGGGTAGCAGATGTGGAAGACCCGGCATGAGTTCTCCTTATCAGCATAATATCCGTAGGGACGGTCTGCGCAGGTAAATGATGTTGAGATTCTTCCCAAAATATTACTAGCATCAGCTGGGAGGTTAAGAGGTTCAAATTCTCCAAATACTTCTTCCGTATTTGAACTGAACTGGGATCCAATGCTGCTTACAGAACCACTCAGGAGTCCAAAACCATTAATGCTGCCTGAGGAGCTAGATTGTAATCCACTTCCACTGAGCAATGCAGACTGGAATCCACTGGTGTTTGGTGATCCTGATTGGAATCCGTTGCTGTTTGGTGATCCTGACTGGAATCCACTGGTGTTTGGTGATCCAGACTGGAATCCACTGGTGTTTGGTGACCCAGATTGGAATCCATTGCTGTTTGGTGATCCAGACTGGAATCCGTTGCTGTTTGGTGATCCAGACTGGAATCCACTGGTGTTTGGTGACCCAGATTGGAATCCGTTGCTGTTTGGTGATCCAGACTGGAATCCATTGCTGTTTGGTGACCCAGATTGGAATCCATTGCTGTTTGGTGATCCAGACTGGAATCCATTGCTGTTTGGTGATCCAGACTGGAATCCACTGGTGTTTGGTGACCCAGATTGGAATCCGTTGCTGTTTGGTGACCCAGATTGGAATCCGTTGCTGTTTGGTGATCCAGACTGGAATCCGTTGCTGTTTGGTGACCCAGATTGGAATCCGTTGCTGTTTGGTGACCCAGATTGGAATCCGTTGTTGTTTGGTGATCCAGTTTGGAATCCGTTGTTGTTTGGTGACACAGATTGGAATCCGTTGCTGTTTGGTGATCCAGACTGGAATCCGTTGCTGTTTGGTGATCCAGACTGGAATCCGTTGTTGTTTGGTGACCCAGATTGGAATCCGTTGTTGTTTGGTGATCCAGACTGGAATCCGTTGGTATTTGGTGATCCAGACTGGAATCCGTTGCTGTTTGGTGATCCAGACTGGAATCCACTTGTGTTTGGTGACCCAGATTGGAATCCATTGCTGTTTGGTGATCCAGTTTGGAATCCGTTGCTGTTTGGTGACCCAGATTGGAATTCATTGATGTTTGGTGATCCAGATTGGAATTCGCCGGTGCTTGGTGTTCCAGACTGGAATCCATTGCTGTTTGGTGATCCAGACTGGAATCCATCAG